TGAGTAAATGACAAAGTTCCCAGTGTGAGACAGAGGAGGGGGTGGGAGAGGGAGAGAGAGGGAGAGAGAGAGAGAGAAAGAGAATGTGTGAGGGAATACAAGACCAGATGTTATTTTTCAGCATCAGAAAAGGTTGCTTTCCTTAAATAGCAGTGTTGTAATCAGATTATGATGCAACTAGAGGCCTGGTGCACGAAATTCATGCACAGAGGTGGGGGGTGTCCCTCAATTTCTGCACCCTCTCCAATTCCGCATTCTGCACCCTCTCCAATCTGGGACCCCTCGAGGGATATCTGACTCACAATCCAGGACTGCTGGCTCCCAACTGCTCACCTGCCTGCCTTCCTGATTGCCCCTAACCACTTCTGCCTGCCAGCCTGATCACACCCTAACCAGTCTCATGCCAGCCTGATTGATGTCTAACTGCTCCCCTGCCAGCTTGTTTGCCCCCAACTTCCCTCCTTCACTAATCTGGTCATCCTTACTGCCTTCTCCTGCAAGGTTGATCACCCCCAACAGTCCTCACTTGCAGGCCTGATGCCTCCCAACTGCCCTCCCTTGCTTGCCTGATTGCCCACAACTGCCCTCCCTTGCAGGCCTGGTCCCACCCAACTGCCCTCTCCTGCTGGCCATCTTGTGGTGGCCATCTTTTGTCCACATGGGGGCAGCCATCTTCTGTATTGGAACGATGGTCAATCTGCATAATACTCTTTTATTAGATAGGATAGAGGCCTGGTGCATGGATGGGGGCCAGCTGGTTTGCTCTGAAGGGTGTCCCAAATCAGGGTGGGGGTTCCCTTGGGGCGTGGGGTGGCCTGGGCGAGGGGCCTGTGGCAGTTTGCAGGTCAGCCACACCCCCTGGTGACCCAAGCAGAGGCCCTGGTATCTGGAATTGATTTACCTTCTACAATTGAAACTTTGTAGCCTGGAGTGAAGGCCTAAGCCAGCCATGGCTGCAGAAGCTTGGCTTCCTCCATCACCTGGGGCAACCCTAGTTCCTGCTCTTCCAGCTCTGTGGCTGCCACCATTTCTGTTGTAATTTTTTTACTTTCTATAATTGAAACTTTGTACCCGTGAGTGGAGGCCTGGGCCTGCCAGGGTGTGTTAAAAGCTTGGCTTCTTCCATTGAAAGGGAAACCCAAGCCTCCCTCCTGCTCTCTGTGGCCACAGCCATCTTGGTTGGGGTTAATTTGCATACTTGCTCTGATTGGCTGGTGGGCATGGCTTGTGGGTATAGCAGAGTGATGGTTAATTTGCATATTACTCTTTTATTAGATAGGATAGTTCCTGAGACCAGTTAGCATATTCATTCATTCAACAAATGTTGATTGTTTACATGTGATACACTCTTTTGAAGGTACTGACAGTAAAGAAGAAGATATTCTGAACATCTTCCCTTTTCCCCATCTAGATCCAGCCTCCACCTTTCTCCCCTACTCTGTACCTCCATCAAGTGGTCCCCTTGCACTCCAGCTTCCCGTTGGCTTTGTTTTATGCTAAGGACCAGAATTGGCTGTAGAAATCAGCCAAGCTGAAGCAAAGGTCATAGCCCCTGTCTAGTGACCCTCTTTACATAGTCTCTTTGAATCCAGACTCAGACACTTTGGGCCTAAAAATGGAATCCCCTGTCCCTCTACTTTTAGTCCCAAGAGCACTTCACTATCCTTACTTCTTGCTTACACCTTTATAAAACACTGCCTTTTAAAGACTCTTATAAAGTCATCCTTATTTATGTGTCACTTACTATTGGGTCCCCCAAAGCTGGGTGGTGGTGGGGAAGACAGACAGTAAGTATTATATAGCATTTTAGACAATACATGCCACTGAAGAATATGAGAGTAATGGGAGCTAGAAAATGTGTAGAGAAAGGAATTTAAAAGATGATGAGGGAAAGTTGTACTGAGAAGGTGACATTAAAATACAGGCTCAAGGGAGGTGACAAAGTAGGCCAAGTAGAAGGTTATAATGGTCTGAATTTGGGTAGTGATTGGGCAGTGAAGGAAGAGAGCAAATAGTGTGAATAGAATTAATGGTTGATTAGAAGTAGTAAGTGAGGGAGAGTGAGTCGGGGCTTTCCTTCTGAATCCTGGCCTAGATAATATTCCAGAGAGCCTTCTAACTGCCCTTTCTCATATTATGCTAGCATGTTCACTACTTACATATGCCATCTACCAGGTATATCCATCCAGCATAAACTTCAAGGAGCCCCACTCATTGTACCACAGCTTACACACACCTAAAAAAAAAAAAAAAATTAAGCCAAAACCGGTTTGGCTCAATGGATAGAGCCTCAGCCTGCGGACTGAAAGATCCCAAGTTCAATTCCAGTCAAGGGCATGTACCTTGGTTGCAGGCACATCCCCAGTAGGGGGTGTGCAAGAGGCAGCTGGTCAATGATTCTCTCTCATTGATGTTTCTAACTCTCTATCCCTCTCTTTTCCTCTCTGTAAAAAATCAATAAAATATATTTTTAAAAAAGTTAAATATTCTAACAACTGAGGGATTAGTAAATTCCAAAATTATGTTAGGGAATACATTTTTAAGCATCAGGAAAAGTTGCTTTTCTTATAGGCAAGCGTGTTAAATTTGTGGGAATCCCAAGCTGATGTATACAGGTCAGGACTGAAAACAGAGATTAAATGTTCGGCCTGAGAGTGGATGATATAACCCAGAGAGCAGATGATGAATGACAATAGTTAGCAAGACCAGACTCCTTGAGAACACCAAAATTAAACAAACAGGAGACTGAAAAGTTAGGTTCTGGTGATGCCACAGAAACCAAGGCAGCAAAGTCAAAGTCAAATGCAAGGGAAATCCAGAAAGGTAAGGGTTGATATTGGTCCATATGATTGTGCAATTAGAAGGTGATTGTTAACCTTTGCCGGAGCAGCTTTAGTGTGAGAGAACAAAGCCAGGTCTCAGATGGTTGAGGACTAATTAAGAAGTGAACTAATGAAGGCAGTGAGAGTAAACGAATTTTGCTAGGAATCTATGCAGGAACGTGAGAAATGAAGCAGAGCAGCCACTAGAAAGAGAAGCTTACAGGATCAAGGCTGGAGGTGGCTAGGATAGGAGAGTCCTGAGCACATCACTGGGCTAACATGAAAGCCACCAGAGCAAGGGCTAAAAAATAAAAATAAAACAAAAAATAAGAAAGAGGGTATAACAAATGACACAAATTTTTAGATGAGGCTGAAGAGATGGGATGGGTTGGTTATGAAGAGGTGACAAACATCTAGTGTGTGCCCATGGGTCGAGGCAAAGGACATAGAATGTAGTTTTTCCTCCCGTTTCTGGATCAGATTTCATTTGTCCTTTTCTACTCACATGTAGTAAACTAATTCCACATCAGGCACTATTTCTCACATTTAAACATCTCTTAATACCTCCTTTTCTTTTCCCAATCTTTTGTTACTAAGTAGAGCATCTCTTGGTTTCTCCTATAAATAGAAATACTTACTAAGATGCTTCTGTACCTTCAAATTTAGGGGCCCAATGTGTTCTGCATACTAGGTGTTAGTTACCAAGAAAAAGTGGGACATCTAGATGAAGAAAAAGAAAACCAGAGGGTTTTAGGGCCAAAGTAAACAAACAAACAAAACAAAAAAAGTCAACACTTGCAACCTTTAGAGTTGGAACTGTCAAGATGCCTTTTTAAATGCTACCAACAGTAATGCTAATTAAGACTACTTTTCCTCAATCACCACTCAATAGAAAATAACATTTCTTTCACATCACTATTTGCCTCTCCGTTTACCAGAATTGCAATATTAATCCGTACAACAACTCATTGCATCTTTCATTTTAATTCTATCAAATTTCAGCCTCATTGTAGGTTAAAGTGGCTCTTGTAGGCTAACCTAGAGTCTAATTGTAAACTTCTATATCCCCCAAATTCAAACTGACTTGAAAATTGAGCAGAACAATTCTGTCCATACTAGATTTTAACTCAGAAGGGCAAGAAGATAGTCTACCTTGGTTTTCACTAAGCCGGAAAACATTTAAATTAAGGTCAAGGTTTTAGTGGCATGAGCATGGCTTATACAGATGCTGAATTCACACTCCTGACATGTGCTGGGCCCCTAGCTCAGCCACTTCAGTTGGTTAGACTTTTGAGCAAGAAATTTTTAAGTAGTGCTGTTCTTCTGCTCTGTAATGTAAAGAGTGCTCCGCGTCTCCTTTTCCAACAGGGGAGGAGGCCATTTATAATTTCATACGTTTGTATTTAACTAGAAGAGGCTGCACCACATCTCAAGGGTTCTCTCTAAACCACCCCTAGACTCAGACTTGAAATAGTTCTATCGTAAAACACAGCATTATAACACGTTCTAAATAACGCAAGTTTCGAGCCCATAAAAGTCAAACGCAAGTACACAGCACGATGATGATGATGATTCCAAAGTGAACCTCAAAAATCCAAAGTTTCCAGACTGAGCCTGAAGAGGGCTTGGCTTTAGACACTGGCAGGGGACTGTGACGGAAGGAAAAGTCCAGAGACTCCAAAGCCCCGAGGCTCAACTCTCATTAGTCAGCAGAGGGCCGCTAGCCTTCGGAGCCCTCCTGCAGGGAGGCCGGGTAAACGGCTCGCCCTGGCAGAGCGCGGGCAGAATCTGCCACGAAACTCCATCCGCTGGGCGGGGAGGCTGACCTTCCCGCCTGCGGAAAGCACCCCCCCCCCTCCCGCCTTTGCCCTTGGGGGATCCATTCCTTCCTCTCGGCGCCGAGCTGGAGCTGAGTGTGAGGTGGCCGGGGACTGTGCCCACAGGGGAGAGCCCGCGGGAGGGGCCCGCAGCTGAGGCCCCGGGGAGCGGCCCGGGTCCCCCCCCCAAACCGGCAGGGAGGACGCCCACCCCGCGGGGCGGAGGAGGAGCTCAGGGAGGAGCTGAAGCTTGCACCCCGGCGGCGGGTGCATGGGAGGGGGGAGGAGTAGCAGAGGAAGAAGAGGGGAGGGAAGAGAGGAGGGGAGTGGGGGAGGTGAAGGCTCGGACCCGCACACTCACCCGAGGGGCGCTCGGGCCGAATGGGCCGCCACCTCAGAGCCCGCTCGCTCAGCACCATGTCGCAGCTGCTCCTCCCGATCTCGAAGATGCCCCGGAGCAGCACCCGCTCGGCCGCCGCCTCCGGCCGCTGCGGGGCCGCCCAGGGCACCGAGGCCGCCGCGGCCGCCGCCGCCGGGGGCGCCCCTGCCTCCCCGCCGCCCTCCAGGGCGCCCACGCGGCTGCCGCGCCTCCCCCGGGACATGGCGGGGCCGCGGGCCGGCGGCGGGAGCCCGGGGTCGCGATCGGAAACAGGGAAAGGTGGAGGAGGCCCGGCCGTCTCCGCCGGAGCCGCGTCCCCGCTGCCACAGCAACCGCGGCGGCCGGGGCCGGGAGGGGCGGGGCGCGCGGGCGGGGCCGCCGGACCTGGTGCAGCCCGGAGCCTGCAGCCAGCCTCCGCCGCTCAAGATTCACAAAAACCACACACACAGACCAAAAAAGGCCGGTGCGGGGAGAGGAGTGAGTTGCCCTCTCCATCCAGGCCAGACTCTTCCATGCAGTGCACCCGCGCTCCGCAAACTTTGTTCAGACTTTGATACTCACCCTCGTGGGCGTGCTGCTGAAATGCAGGTTCTTAACGAATAGGTCTGGGTGGAGACCCAACGTCCTGCAAGGCTGTTGAGACGCTGCTGAGCTGAGGAACACACTTTGAGTTGCAAGCATCTACCCTGGGTCCTCCCCTTGCTCCTGGGCAGCGGAGTCGCTCTCTGTACCCACGCGTGCACGCCCTCCGTCATTAGCTGACCTTGATACAGCTGGCATAGAATGAGGGCCGGAATGAGAGGAAGTCAGAGACAAGTCCTTGGTTTGCAGAGGAGTAGGCCCATTCCCAACTGGCAGATGTAGTGTTGAAGGAAGCTGCCTCTCTGCCCCCAAGATACCGACCTGCCCTGTCCTTGCCCGCCTCTGGCACTCACTCCCTGGAGAGAGGACTAGTTGCAGGACCTGCTCCGCTGGAGGCCTCTGCCGCCATAGAGTGCTACCTGCAGTGGGGAGGGCCCTGGAACGCAGCCTTCACGTTCTCCTGGTAGCTGAGATGCCTGCATTAGCTGAGAGTTCCTTTGGAAAGCGCAGGGAGTCTGGGGGGCCCCCCAGGTTCTCAGTGGTGGCTGCACGGGAGATTCCTGGGAAGATTTTTTAAATCCAGGCGCCCAGGCTGCACTCAAAGACAATTAAATTAGGATCTCTGGGGCTGGGACCCAGCGTGCAGGAGTTTGAAAAGCTCCCCAGGTGGTTCCAATGTTCAGGGCCCGGGAGAGCTGCTCTAAGCAGTGCAATAATGGGGGGGAGGGGGGGGAGGGGAGAGAAAATCCGCAGGTGTTTTATAAGGTCAGGATAATGGTATGGAGAAAGAGTTAGGGGTCAGGGAGTTAAAGAGGAAGTTAAATTGACAGAATTGTAAATCTCATTGCCTGTGTGCTGGTGCCTAAGCAAAGACATCCTCCTCTCTGGTCACACTGGAAAGTTATGGTAGCAGGAGTGACTCGAGGTTCTCTGCTCAAACTTGGATTTCAAACGACCAGTGAGGCAGGCTGTCTGGTGGCCCAGCCAAATCCCTTTCAGACATAAAACACCTGTGTGCCAGTTAAGCTAGGACTCTCGCTGTTCAATGCTCTGAAAACAAACACCAAGCTTCCAGGCAAAGCGGGGAAGAGCTGCGGATTGATCTGATTACAGCGAGCTGTTTCCTGGAGCAGAAGGGCAGCTGCCGCTAGCTAACCCCACGCAGGCTTCAGGGGGCCGGGAGGAGGCATCTGTGGGGAAGGTTGGTGCCTCTGCAGGCGGAGTTGCAGCTCTGGAGTCAGCGTCTTGTAGTCACAGCTGCCGGGCAATCAGCACAATTAGAGCTCGGTGGCCCTTTAAAAGCTCACTGAGAGCCCTGGTAAACGGGCCAAAGCGGTGGCTACTTCTTAGGACCTTTTAAAAAAAATTCAGTCAGGTCCGAAGGTCAGATACATAGGCTTTGCATTTCTTGAGGAGGAAAGTAATGGTGTTACTCCATTCTTTGTCTTTGGTGAGCCGTCCTTGTGAGGCTCTAAGGCAGCCGTCCTCAAACTTTTTAAAGTGGGGGCCAGATCACGGTCCCTCAGAGAGCTGGAGGGCCGGACTATATGAACTACTAATTCCTACTGTAACACCTCGGCTGCGCTCACTGCCCAAAAAACCTGGCGGGCCGGATCAGACTCCTCTGCGGGCCGCATGTGGCCCACGGGCGGTAGTTTGAAGACCCCTGCAAGGGGTGCAGTGCCCTGAGGCTCCGTCCTCAGGATCTGTCCACTTAGGCTTCAGTTCCTGAGGAGCACCTGCCGCAAGAGTGACTCATATATGATACAGCGATGCATGAAGATGGCTCTCCTGCACATGTCTTTCCCTGCTTCAGGTGAAGCCGGGTGTTTGTTTCCAGAGCATTAAACAATAACCTGTCCTTTCTTAAAAGTAACAGAATTGGCCCTGACCGGTTTGGCTCAGTGGATAGAGCATCAGCCTGCAGACTGAAGGGTCTCTGGTTCAATTCCAGCCAAGGGCATGTACCTTGGTTGCGGGCATATACCCAGTAGGGGGTGTGCAGGAGGCAGCTGATCAATGTTTGTAACTCTCTGTCCCTCTTCCTTCCTCTCTATAATATATATATATATATCTCTATATATATATATATATATATATATATATATATATTTTTTTTTTTTTTTAAAGGAACATAATTGCTTTCCCGTTTGAAGACATGGCTACGTCTAGAAACACAGTCTCCATTCCTATTTTGTTTTTTTGTTTGTTTTATTGTTGTTGTTGTTTTTTATGAAATCTACATCTGTACCGAAACCATTTGGCTCAGTGGATAGAGCGTCGGCCTGCAGATTGAAAGGTCCCAGTTCGATTCCAGTCAAGGGCATGTACCTTGGTTGTGGGCACATCCCCAGTGGGGGGTGTGCAGGAGGCATCTGATCAATGTTTATCTCTCATCGATGTTTCTAACTCTCTATCTCTCTCCCTTCCTCTCTGTAAAAAAAATCAATAAACTATATTTAAAAAAAAAGAAATCTACATCTGAGCAGACCTTTGGGGGGTAAAAAATCTGCTATAGATAACATTCTTTTCAGGAGACCAGTAGATACCTGGGCAAATCACAGGTTTATAGCTCTGATGGTATGTCCAGCGGTTGGCAAACTCATTAGTCAACAGAGCCAAATATCAGCAATACAACAATTGAAATTTCTTTTGAGAGCCAAATTTTTTAAAACTTAAACTTCTTCTAATCCCACTTCTTCAAAATAGACTTGCCCAGGCCGTGGTATTTTGTGGAAGAGCCACACTCAAGGGGCCAAAGAGCCGCATGTGGCTTGCGAGCCGCAGTTTGCCGGCTGCGGGTATAGCCTCCTAAATTTGGGATCAGCTCCTCTCAGATGGAGGCTGGTAAAATGCATTCAGACCTCCTGCTTCAAGGGCAGGGGACAAGAAAGTCCGATGCCTAAGCTTTGGCCAGTGGATAATTCTATGTCACTCCCTTTGATCTCTGAAAGTCTCTGCTGGCTTCTAGGTTTGGAGTTTATGTGACAACTGATTGAGTGCCTATGCTATCAGGTTACCATCAACATAATTGTTTTTCAAACTTCAGCTTACTTTACAGAATATTTTTCATTAAGGACTGCTCAGGACAGGTAGGATGAAATCCAGACTCCCACCTTGACCTATGAGAACCCAGGTGATTTGACTCTGCCACCTGCTCAAACCCCATTTCCTATTCTTTTTTCTTCTATTCATATTACATTTAGGTCTAACCACACTGCCCTTGTCATTCTTCAAATAAACCAAGTTCATCTGTCATGAGGGCCTCTGCTGTTGTTGTTTACTCTGCCTAAAACAATTATCATTATGGTATGACTTTACATGGGGCCCAGATCAACTTGATGTCACTTTCCCCGATCTTTGCTGGCCAGTCAAGAGTTGACCCTGCCCTAACTGGTTTGGTTCAGTGGATAGAGCATCGGCCTGCAGACTGAAGGGTCCCAGGTTCAATTCTGGTCAAGAGTTGTGGGCACATCCCAGTAGGGGGTGTGCAGGAGGCAGCTGATTGATGTTTCTCACTCATCAATGTTCTAACTCTCTATCCCTCTGTAAAAAAAATCAAAGTTGACCCCTACTCAATGTTATTTTCATTATACTCCCCACTATCTAAAAGTTTGTTGTTGATTTATTTGTTTAGTTATTTCTTATCTCTCTTCTCCCATTAGATGGGTACCTGAACAACAACCGTGACCTAGTCTGCTCATTTATGGCTCTACTTATTGTGCCTAAGCAGTGCTTTTAGCAAAATAGATGGTCAATAAATGGGTTTGTTGAATGCATGAATGAATAACTTTTTAAATTGAGTTCCTGTATTAACTTCTGATATTGTTCATGTTACATCTCATGGGTGAGAAAAAAATTCATGACATTTAGTTTCTTCATGTCAATCTACATTTTGGGTGAAGTGATCTTTGTTTACATCCATCTTCAGTCATTTCTGATGCTAAAAGGGCACATCATCAAGGTGTCAAGGGGATGGCTTTCCTCACATGTGGAGATTTTGTCAGTGTTCTTGCTACTCTAGCTCCTTCTGCCTAAAAGGTGGAGAGCCATATATCCTTACAAGAAATACAGAGAAGATAGAAGAAATTTTAAAGTCCCACCAATTCAGAATATCACAGTTTCTTCATGTGCCAGTTTTTCACACTCAAATTTAAGCTCTGTCTAAAACTCTAGAAGCTCTGTGTTCCAAGACACTTCTCCCCTGAGTATGTGATGACAATGACCATGTGATCCCTAGCTCCCCCAAAAGTAACAATAATGAATAACACAGAAAAGGAGAATAGGCCCTTCTTCTCTTTCCCTCAGGTTTTTAAGATCCCCTTTCAGGTAGGTTGTGATGTTTATAAACTTGGAACAAACTATTTGAGATGTATTTCCACCAAATGGAGAGTTTGAGACTCTCCAATGCTATAATGTATAATAGAATCTTAAATCAGGTATAACCAGATACACAAAGAGAAAATTTAAATCAGAAAGTTTTCCTCACTTCCCATAGCTCACACTAGTACAGCTGTGAAAAAGGCATTATACAGAGGAGGCAATGTCCCTTCTCACTATTGAAAAAAGCCCATTGCTTTCAAGCCTCTTGCCCATAGACATCAAAGAGTTTGATACTAGGTTCACTGGTTTTTACTTTTACATCATTTTCTGTTACCATTTGGAGCACTTTGGTGTCCTTTATAATGCCCTGGCCTCAAATTTCCATGACAGCCTCATCCCAACTATCTGCGGAACCCTCCATTGCCAGCTCCTATAATTATATATTCCGGACCTCGTAGACTTC